GACGGCGGGGGAAGGCGGCCCCTCGGCCCCGGAGACCCGGTTTCGAGGCCCCGCACCGCCGCCCCTGGGCTGCGAGACCTGGGAGAGCTGCTCTATGGCCCGGGCCTCGGCTTCCTGCTAAGAACGCAGCACTCGGCAGGGAGGGTCGCAGGCGGTCCGGTGCCTAAAGCTGCAGTTAGGCCTCCAGCGCTCGCTGAACAATAGCCGTCTGTGTGGCCTCCTTCCTGATATTAATATGTGCCTTCTTCATACTGTTATGTGCATGACTTTATTAGGTCTTCACAGCGACGCCGAGAGTTAGGGACTGTTTAGCCTTATTCTGCAGTGAGGAACTAGAGACAGAGAGAGTAACTTGCTCAAGGTATTAGAGCCGGTAAGTGGCCCGGCCAGGATGACAGCTCAGGCGCCCGAGTCCAGGCATCTCCTCCTCACAGCTCCCCGTGAGCTTCCTCCAGCCCCTTACTGCCCCATATACTCCACCTCCCTCCGAGACTAGCCTTAGAGCATAGTCTGGAGACACGGATTATTTTCGTGGCCCAGGTGCAGTCCAAGGTGAGGTGACAACCCAAATGTGCCTCCACTCGCTTATCAGAATCCGGAAACCTCATCCCAGGAGGAGAGCTGGGGAACACCTCAGAACATTGGAAAAGGTCTGGGCGAGGAGAGAACATTTCTAATCCCCGCAAATCCTTTTGGTTTAAGGGACAGATACCGGTACTTCGCTTGTTTGATGAGAGCTCGGTTTGACGAACATAAGAATGAGAAGGACATGGTGAAGGCCACCCGGCTGCTGAGGGAGGCGGAGGAAGAGTTCTGGCACAACCAGCACCCTCAGCCGTACATCTTCCCCGACTCTCCTGGGGGCACCTCCTACGAGAGATACGAGTGTTATAAGGTGGGTGCGGCCAGCCTGCCGCTGGCTCCTCCCGTTCCAGAGTTACCCTTGTAGGGGCAGCTAGATTTCCTTCCAGGTGACATTAAGATTTTCTTGCCCTGACCGGTTTGGCTCAGTGGACAGAGTGTCGGCCTGCGGACTGAAGGGTCCCAGGTTCGATTCCGGTCAAGGGCATGTACCTGGGTTGCGGGCACATCCCCAGTAGGGAGTGTGCAGGAGGCAGCTGGTCGATGTTTCTCTCTCATCGATGTTTCTAACTCTCTATCCCTCTCCCTTCCTCTCTGTAAAAAGTCAATAAAATATATATTTTTTTAAAAAGACTTTTCTTTCCAAATTCAGCTTGTGGTATCCTTTTGGCAAAGGAGAATGCTAAATTACTTGGTAAATAACCCATTTTTGGACCTTAAGGTGAACCAGTCTGGATTGGTGTTTAGAATTTCTGAGAAATTCTAGATAATACTTCCAAAGAACATAAACCCACTGGATGTTTAGGGGACACACGTAGGGAAGGGGTGATGCCAGTTCTTTCTGAACGGGCCGTGCTGTTTTTCAACCCCAGGCTGTTTTACTCAAAGGCATTCTCCCTGCTTATCTTCTGCTACTCATTGCTTGCGTGGTGTCAAACCGTCTGACACTTGCAGTGGAGTACAAATGCCCCTGGAGTTTGTCTGTTGTGCAGGACCTGTCAGCGGCATGTAGATGTATCTTGTGTGCTGACGCCATGATTTCCTCTCCTCACAGGTTCCTGAGTGGTGCTTGGATGACTGGCATCCTTCTGAGAAGGCAGTGTATCCTGATTACTTTGCCAAGAGAGAGCAATGGAAGAAACTGCGGAGGGAAAGCTGGGAGCGAGAGGTGAGTCTTACCTGCATTTTACCAGGTGGCTTGGTCCACGGGGTCAGCACCTGGAAGGAGCTCAGGTTTTGTCCCACTGACGAGGTCTGGAGTCCAGTTATGAGTTACTCTGGCCCCTTGCTTCTTAGATATACATTTCTCAGTTACTTGGGACGCTTACACCTATCTTCCAATTGGTTACACTGTGTTTCCTTCTGGGTTTTCTGGTCTCTAATTTTGCTTTTCCCCTTCCCCTCCTCCTCCTCAATCCTTTGCCTTTGCTTCTTGTTATGCCCTGTTATCCCTTAACCTTACTCCCCAGCAATGCCTTGGACCCTTTTCATGTCTGCTTCACGTTGTTCAAAGCTTAATCTTGCTGTAGTGTGAACGATATATTAGAGAGGGTAAGGTGACGAGTGGAGAGACCACTTTGAGATTATTGCAGTTTATTCAAAAGATTATGGCAGCCAGCACTAAGGTGCATGCAGTGAATATGGAGGGAAGTAGATTCAGGAGATAGTTGGAGGGATACAGAGATAGATTGGATGTGGGGGGCTGGGGAGTGAGGGACAGTGAGAACCAAGAATGGTTTCCAGGTTATAAGCTTTAACATCTGGAGTTTGCTGATGGTGTTTATTGAGATAGGAAAGGTTGGGTGTCGGGACATTCTGATGCTCAGTTTTAAGTGTGTTAGATTTCCCCAGCCACCGGTTTGGCTCAGTGGATAGAGCGTCGGCCTGCGGACTGAAAGGTCCCAGGTTCGATTCCGGTCGGGGCATGTGCCTGGGTTGTGCGCACTTCCCCAGTGGGGGATGTGCAGGAGGCGGCTGGTCGATGTTTCTCTCTCATCGATGTTTCTAACTCTATAAAATATATTTAAAAAAAAAAAAAAAAGTGTGTTAGATTTAAGAATCCTAAGACATTATGTGCAGATGTCAGAAGGTGACTGGATGTCAAAGGAGCTTGAAAGACACTTGTGAGCTAACAGTTGTTTTCAACATCAAGGAAGTAGATGAGTCTTGACAGGAGACTAGGAAAATAAAAGTGGCAGGAGCTCCACTGGTCGAGGTTAGGAAAAGGAGACCGAGGAGCACCCGGCAAGGGAGGGACAGCCAGGAGGGTGTGCCGCGGGTCCGGAGAAAGTGTTTCAGGAATGGCCAGGCCACGTCCTCTCTGCTGAAAGTTACTAAAAGGTGAAACAGAGTGAGGACTGGGAATAATGTGCAGTTTGGCTGCAGGAAGGGCATTAGTGGGCGCGACCGGAGCCTTTTCTGGAGGATTTAGTCACCTGACAGTAGTGAGCAGAGTGAGGAAGAGAAGATAGGAGGGAGAGGGGATTCTTGAGAAGTTCTGCTGAGAATAGTAACGAGACCAAGGGATTATTTCCTAAGACGAGAACTGACGGTGCATAATTTGGAAGGAGGGAGAAGTTGTTAATGTTGATGAGGGGTGGAAAGGTGGAGGGAGTTTCGAGAAGAGGCGTGGGGCCCCGAGTATGCACGGAGGCCTGTCTCTGCATTGGGAACTGGAGGTCGGTGATTCAGGGAGAGCAGGAGGTGCACACTGCAGGTGATCACCGTAACCCCCTCTCCCCCACACAAACCTTCCTCCTCTTGCTGTTGTCTCTGCCACGTTGTTAAACAGCACATGTGCTGGAGGCTCAGGTTAACCACATTCCAGGATGGATTTTTCTGGAGGAGCTTCATAAAGTCACTGATCTGGAAAGTGGGTCTCTGGGTTTCCTCCTTGTGAGGGCCGTGATCGTCTTGGAGATCCCTGAACTGGGGTAGTTGGTCAATATCAGGCATAACAGCGTATTTTTCATGTGATTGTGTGTTGCTTCTTGTCCTGGTTGCTGTTGGGGGAGAGGGGCTTTAAAGTTAACATCCCTAATATACATGAATTGAGATTTCTTTTTTTGAGATTTCTTACTGGTGCTTTTGGAGAACACTTAGCTGAGACACAAAAATCCATTTTTGTTGGGGAAGAGTTTAGGGGGGGAGACCATAACCAGGGGAATTGGAGTAGTAGTTGTCATGGTTTGGGTTAATGAATAAGGTGGGCGGGAGAGTTTTTCTCAACTTTGCTGTTTTAAGAATGGGAAAAGCTTTGAGGACATCTTTTCTGAGTTAAGTGTGGGATCAAATAATGCAGGTATGAACAAACAACACTTCAGTAGTGAGGATCAGACAGCATGTGATGTGACAGCAGGTGACACTAACGGTACAGCCGGGACTGTCCGTTCAGCTCCTTTTCTAACTGGTCCCTCCTTGACCCCTTCCAGGTTAAGCAGCTGCAGGCGGAAACCCCAGTTGGTGGTCCCATCACTGAAGCTTTGCCCCCTGCCCGAAAGGAAGGTGATTTGCCCCCACTGTGGTGGCATATTGTGACCAGGCCCCGGGAGCGGCCCGCATAGACAGAGAGAGGAAGACACACCACCAGTCCTGCTTGCAAGTGAAATAAGTTACGGAAAATATACACACTTGCCCTAATAAAAATAAAAGGTATGACTGATGTGTTCTTCTGTGTAACGGGATGCCAGGGGACTGCCGCTGTCTTACAGGTTCCATAGCAGTTGTGCATAGAAAAGTATGTGATGTGTCGTCAGTCAGATGTGTGCTTTTCTTCCCCATTAAGTCACATAGATAGCACATGTTCTTAATAGGGGACAACTGTAGCAGAACCAGGTACAAGGTTTACTCTGAAGACTGAGTCAAAGAGACTCTAGTTGAAGCCTTAATTAGTGCTCGGATCTGGAAGGAATGGAGGCTGAGAAGAGGTATGCTAATGTTAAGGACTTACGCTACCGTCTTGGTTTTCTAAAGATTCTACTGATGGAATTTGTTTTGATTAAACACCTTTCTCTAAGAAGCACCCATTCAGCACATAAACCTGGAGTCTCAGGAGCGGAAGTGTGATGGGCAGGGTTAAAGGGCCCGATTTGGGATGAAACTCACTTGCTTTGGAGGCAGTTTTCCAGCTTTGCTTCCTCTATTGTAGCTTGGATTGCCTGAGGACTCAAAGGTAAGGGTACAGCAGAACTCTCACCCTTTGAAGAGGTTTCCTTAAATGGTAAAGCCAGCCATGGCCGATGGTGCTCACTGGTTAGATCATGGGCCCGTGCACTGAAGGGTCGTGGGTTCGATCCCCAGTCAAGAGCAGGTACCTAGGTTTCGAGTTTGTCCCCATCCCCCTACCCCTACCTCCAGTTGGGGCGCATGCAGGAGGCAACCAGGCGATGTGTCTGTCTCTGTCTCTCTCCTCCTCCCTCCCTTCCTTCCACACTCTGAAAAAGCAATGGAGAAAACGTCCTCAGGTGAGGATTCACAAAAATAAAAGGTCAGCTGAACCCAGCTACCTTTCGTTCTTGACAATTCATTGGAACTGCACTCAAATAGTTAGTTCAGGCAACTACCGTTCTTAGGGATCAAAATCATCACAAAAATAATGTTCTGTCAGTTTTCTAAGTAAGCTAAGTCTGAGTCTCAGTGCATCTTCTAACATTTAGCGAAGACCAAGTGAATTTTAATAAGAGTTGAAATACAGGACTTTTTTTTTTCTAGTGGTTCTTTATTTATAATGTAGGCTGAAGCAATTGTTACAAGATAGAAGGGAAACACAATACACAATTGTTATTTATACAAGTTTAGAACAAAAAACTGCACAGGGAGAGGTCAACTCTCAGTACAAACTAGCAACTAAACCACAATAATTTACCTTTAGAAACGATTTCTTTATTTGTAGCTGTGACACTGCTTTTACAATATGCAAAAACACAAACAGGACTACCCAAGGTGTTTTGTCACATTCTTTCTACAGTAAATTTGGCAACATTTTATATTAAATTTCTTCAGATTATACTAACGTTTAAAAACTAAACAAGTGAAAAGCTGTACCGAGGTACAGTTACATCCATTTATTTCAAAGGTTTAAAATACCACTCTTACCTATTGTAATTACCTTGCAGTGATTTCTGCTTTTGCAAAAACCATCTCAAGCATCATATGCACAATGCATCAGCTACTTGTTAGTCCTCGAGATTGGTGGGCTAAACCACAGGCACTACTGTTGCTTATATTCTGTAAAAGGAGCTTGTTTTTCAAAGAAAAAAAAGCTTAAATAGTTTCTAATAATCATGCCTTTGCTTTAAAGCCATAACATAAAATGTCCTTGAGCAATCACAGCAGTGTTAAATGTTAATATATAGAATTAATGACTATACAGGTACATTACTTTCACATCCAATGCAGTTATGTATTAAAGCATAAGATTATGTCATTGAAGATAGGAGCCAACAGGAACCTGCAGGGTCTGTGGGACCCACCACGCCCCTATCATCCCTTGACAGGTCCGGTCACAAAGGGGCACTGTCAGCTGACCCAGCTACTAGGAATTCCTTGCTTTTTCATGTTTACATTCTCCAAACATGAACCCTCTAAATCTACAAGTCCCTGTTGGCTGTAGGGGATGGACATTGTAACAAATTTAACTTTCACTTAAAGAAGAAAAGACATAAATCCATTCCAAAAAACATTACCTAGAATACAAAAAGAGGGACAGTCTGGTGGTCAGATTCCGAGTGACAATAAATAAATCCTCCTCTTCATTGTTTAGCATGAAGCCAATTAAGAAAAACAAGCCCCCGGATTGGTAAACACATTGGCAAGTTGCTGGACGCTAAGCTGGTTACTCTTGTTAAATCCGCTCAAGTTATTTCAAAATATTTGGGCTTTTCAATGCACCCAGCCTGCTGGGCACAGTTAAGTAAAAGGCATTTGCTTTATCTAAGAATTCCCTGCTATCGTGTTTAAATGTTTTCACATTTTGAAACTGCCTTACCCTTTTGGATGCATCTGGATTCGATGAAAATGGGTATAACAGACGAGTAACTAATGGGGGATAAATTCTATGTCTACCCGGTGGTGGCAGCATGCACAGGATTGGAGGTGGGTGCTGTGTGCAGTCAGGAGGAATGGGAGAAAGGAAGTCCTTAAACACCTTACAGAAACAAACACCGCAGTCCAGTATGGCTTATTCGGATGCATTAACCATGAAGCTACTAGAAATTCAACCTACGAGGCTACTCTTAAATGTGACAGGTCGGCTATGTTGACAGTGCCCCTCCCATGGCCCTCCCCCCAATCCCAACAGTCTACCCTCCAGATTCATTTCACTCTGAATAGTGCTCATCAACTCTTACTACTGCTTTGCTCATTCAGAACATCATGTATTTAAGTGAAGAGTTTACCTCTTACCTTTTTGTTTGTACATTAAAATAACTTGAATTTGCTTCTAAGCCAGACTTCTACAACGCATCTACAAAAGCTTGCAGGAAAAAAAAAAAAAAGATACCCCCTTTTTTTTTCTGAAATTAACTACTTCATGGTTCCCCTGCCCTGAGCCCTCCCCCCGTTATGCATTTAAAATTTTACAAAGACTTATAAAAAAGTTACGTGGAATTTGGCACCTTCAGAAAAATCAAAAGGGAAACTAATTTTAAATGTGCAGAAAGTAAGTTGTCAATATTTACAAATTAAAAGATCAAGATTATGTCAGTTACATATGTTGCTTTTAATTCTTATCTAAAGGTGTCGAGTACTTTCAAAAGAGCTGTATTCTGAGTTGCCTACAAAATCTTTTGTTGGATTATAGATTGGAATGGATAAGACAAATTAGGTTTTGTTAATTAAACAGTCATTCCCCACTGGCAGCATTTCTCGTGAGCCTACGAGAAGCGAGGGGCCGAGCGGTCATTTGTCATCGTCTTCTTCAGTTTCACGCCCCTTCGGATGGCATTCAGCATGTCTTCTCCTTGGGGGGCATCCCTGGGGCTCAGGTCTGCGGGCTCACTCTCTGGAGCCCGGCCCGGGGAGGCAGTGGCACTGGAGGGATCCCTCTCCTGGTCTTCGGCCTCGCTCTCTGGGATCGCCTGTCTGTGCTCCTCAGGGATACTTGGCTTCGGGCCTGGAAGGGGAGGGTTGACGGAGGCTTGGCCGCTCCACAGTGAGGACGGCATGCTGGTGACCCCCTGGGGGCCCTCACCCACAGAGGGCGACTCGGGGCTGTGCTCACCCCGCTCCTCTGGCCCATCCGGAGGGGCTGGCAACACCCCAGGGAGGTCTGGGACGGTTGGGGTCTTCACGGGGATCACGGGTGTCTTGATGGGGATGGGACCGGCCCCGATGGTTCCCCGGCGGACAGAAGGCTTGGTGGAAGGGGTCCGTCGGATGGTTGCAACCCCTGGGGTGACCATGGCAGGTCCGAGGGTGGTGGGGAGGCCAGCAGTGGAGGCCGGGCGCTTGGCTTGGAACATCCGTCGGTAGGACTGGCTGATGTCACTGTTCCTCGGGATGGTGGAGGATTTGTCAAACTCCTGCTGCTGGTCTGCCTCCTGGTCACCACTTACCGAGAAATAATCGTAATCTGAAACTGATGATAGGATTCGATTAGAAACCTCCAAGGCAGCGGCTCTGCTTTCTGATTCTTCTGTGTTGGGAGAACAAAAGGCACAGAGGCAAGGTGCTTAGCCACGGTCTCACCCACGCCTCCCCAGGCTTCTGTCCTCCTTAGGAACTGGGTGAGTGTGCAGCCCTTGGCAGGGCCTTCCTGCCGGTCCCTGATGTAACCCCAGGCGCCTAGCACTGCTGGCGTGGAAGGCACGCACTCCCAGATGGTGGAGAGGCGACATGGGGAACGGCCAAGCTGAGGCACAGCTCCCCAGGCACCTCTAAGGACTGAGGCGGCGGAGATTCCCCACGCCCTCCAGTCCAGATCTCAGCGCGAGCTACAGCCCCAGACAGACTACCTCAGACCCTGCCATCTCCCTCAACTAACTCCTTAGGCGAGCCCTATGCAGGAAATGGAGGCACGGGCAGTGAATCCCTGAAGACAGGTACACATGGGTTCCATCAATAAGCTCCATTTCCTAAAAAATGGTATCGGGACGAGAAGCTCAGAGATTTCTGAATGGCAACACTTGCCATTGTGGACCATATGAACTCAGGGGTGCTGTGTACTACAGGGTATTTACAGCACCCTGGCCAGCTAGCACCCCCTCCAGTAGTGACAGCCAAAAATGTCACCAGACGTTGCAAATGTCCCTTGGGCAGCAAATCCCTTTGATGGACTGCACACAGGGTCAGCGATCACAGACCCATTCCAGCTGTCAGACTGCTATGCTGTTGGCTTGGGGGTGTCATAGGGATGAGGCGAGGGAGGCAGGGTGGAGAGGATTTGGCTGGAACAGGTTCAGAGTTTGGGCTTCAGACTCTCATAGACCTTAGGTTCAAACTCTAGCTCTGGTGCGTATTGCATGAATTTGGGGAAGTTACACAGGCTCAGTTTCCATGTATGTAAAATGGAGTAAAAAGACGTATTAGATAAGCAGCTGAGAACATTAAATGGGAAAATGAAGTGCTGAAACACAAATGATGTTCTCGTTAACAGTGAGAACTACCCTGCACCCTGCAGGTGAAAACGAGCTGCAACAGCCAGTCGCTGTGGCAGTGGCCCGG